TGGACCGCCGCCATGAACTTCACCAACGCGGGCCTCTCCAGGACCGCGTTGTAGGGCAGACTGAGGTCCGCCACATCGAAGTTCACCCGCTCCGTGCGGAAATTGGCGGGTCCACCGAAGGTGACCGGGAGGTCGATATGACCTAGCGGCCAAGTGTGCCCCGGCGTCACTCCAATGATCGGCTGGGACGGCCGGAGCATCATCCCCGGGGCCTTGATGGCGTCAAAGGCTGCGGGGGAAAGGATGTTGAGGGCTGCTCCTCCATCAATGAGGACACGCCCCAGCTTCACGTTGCAAACAGTGGGGGAAACCACCATTGCGATCTGTCCTCCCCGGGCAACGCACGGTGGGTGGTCGGTCTGGTCGAAGGTGAGGGCAACCTCCGACCACCGCGCCCGGCGCGTCGCCTCATGAGTCGGGGCCGCGGCCAGAAGCTCTCGCTTCATGGCCTTGAGGCTCCGGCGAGAAACGTGAGCACACGCTCCCCCATCGACAGTGGCAATGGTGGCCCCAGGCTCTTGGAAACCTAGGTCATCATCGCCGTCATCGATGTCCTCAGCGGGGGCCTTCTGCTTGGCCTCACTTCGCCGATTGCCGGAAGGAACCGCCGGGGACTTGCCCTCTCGGCGCTCCTGCCTCCTCTCCTCCTCCCACTTCCTCGTCCGCTCAGCCAAACTTTTGACTGCACGGCAGTCCGCGAGGTCGTGAAGGGAAGTGTTGTGGACGGTGCACCACTTGCCGGTTGGGCGCTCCCTGCTGGGAGCGCCGGCCTCCTTCTTTTTGTCTCCCGCAGGCCTCCCCTTTCGGGTGGCCCGCGGAGCGCCCTCGACGGCGAGGACATGACCCTCGTCGTCTGAATGGACTGACCTCTTCTTCCTCCTCCTGTCACGCCGCCCTGTCTGAGCGGCGGATCCGGGGGCGGCCGAAGCTGCCACACCGGAACCGGAAGGGTTCCAAGTCCAGGCCTCCTCCTTGCGAGCCACTCGGTCCGCGAGCTGAAAAAACTCCGCGGTAGTCTGGGGCTCCTTGGAGGCGATCTTTTCGAGCATGCGGTTGTGCCGCACGCCCCCCCTGAACGCGTAGATTACCGCGTGTGCAGGGATGCATGGTATGGTGTTGCGGACTTGACAGAACCGCTGAATGTACGAGCGAAGTGACTCATCATCCCTTCGCTGTACTGCGTGTAAGTCCGCTTCTTCACCTGGGCGCGGATATGAGCCCTGAAAGTTCATGGTGAACTGTTGGCACAAATCCTCCCAGGAGTGGACTGACGCGGGTGGCAAGTTCATTAGCCAACCCCGCGCCTGCCCCTTCAGGGCCATGGGAAAGAAATTCGCCATGACCCTGTCGTCACCCCCGGCGGCCTCAATCCCGGTCGTGTAGACCTGGAGAAACTCGGCGGGGTTGACGCTGCCATCATATTTTTCGGCGATGGTGGGCCGGAACCTTGGGGGCCAACGGACATTCCGAAGACTCGCCACAAAGGCTCTACAGCCGACACCACCAACCGGGGGCACGGAGGGCTGGTCCCCGCGTCCGTGTTGAGGTGACACTCTAGACGAGGAAGCGCCCTCCGTTGCGTGGGCAGCACGTCGGTCATTACGCCGGCGCTCGATGCTGGCGCGGGCGTCCGGCCCCCCACGCAGATCTTCCCGGGTCGAAGGAGTCGACGAAGGAGTGGCGGCCGAATGGCGAACAGCGGCTGCCGCTCGTCGTGCCCTCCGTCTTGACGACGCGGAGCCGGTGGTAGCAGCACCAGAGGCCTTGGTGGCGGAGGACCGCCCACCAGTATCTAGGCGCTGCCGTGCAGTCATGACCAATTTGGCCACATCGTCCAGCCAACGTTGGGCTGGAGACTCCGGGTCATGGGCGACAGGCGGGTGACACAGGAGCGCACCCGCAGCTTGGAGCGCGCCCTGGGGCGTGCTGCCGTCGCCGTAGACGAGGAGGCGACGGTCCCCATCTCGCCGCCCCTTTCCACCTCCTGTGGATGTCGAAGTCGCGGATCCTTCGGCCCTCTCGAGCGCCTCCCCCTGCTTAGGACTTTGGCGTGGAGGGGGCGGTGGAGTACGAGCTCGACGGCGTGGGTTCGGCTCCCCGTCGTCGCCACTCACACTCGGAGAGAGGTCGTGCGCCTTTGCTTGCTCAGCCATAAGGCTAAACAGGAAAAGCTTGGTGCACACGAAAGAGTGCAAGAGCTCAGAAGATCACTCGCAGAGTCCCCTACCTGGCGCGCCAGATGACGGAGCGTGGGGCTCCTCACCGGGAGACCGCGCTGGCCCTCCTTTGCCGGTTCGGCCGGGGACCCTGGGTGAGATTCTAAGCTCTCAATCTGTATGTGGAAGGTTCGCGAGACAGGAAGCACAGAAGACACCGGCGATGTATACAGGTTCGGGCCGCTGAGAAGCGTAATACCCTACTCCTGTGTTTTGGGAGATCTGTGTATGAAAGAGCTACAAAGTATCAGCCAGCCTCTCCCTTGTTCTGGGTTCCTAATCTGGAAAGGTCCAGTCCAAGAAAAAGCTCTCTTCCTCTCTCAGTGGGCAAGGTCCTCCTTTTATATCTTAAGGGGATACCACATGCACCATCCCCCCTTCTCATTGGGGACTTACCCTACCTTTTCATAAATGGACGGAGATTTGCATGGTTGCCGTCCGAGTCACCTTCTGATGGGACGGCCCACAACTACCTCCACTTTCGCCGGGAGCAGACGCGTCGTGGAATTGTGGCCGCCTGCTGACGACATGACCGGAGTCAGACCAGTCACGTCGGTCATTCTTGTCCACCACGTGTCAGCTTAGCAATCAAAATGTTCGCCCTTCTTCAGACAACATTTTGCTTGTAATGGTTAGGATGAAGCCTGGCATATATCTGGTCAGGACTAACGTGCCATCTCTGGGAGGTAACACGCTAGCTCCAGCTGGGGACGAGCGCCTAGAAGCCCTCGTCCTGACGGGATGGGGCGAGGCGTGCGTCAGACCGCCTGTCGCCACCTAACCCGCGATCTGACCGGTCTGTGACTGGTCACAGACCGGATAAATGAGTGCAATGCACTACGTTACATGCGTCGTGACACGCTCAGCCAAACCGCAATAAATGTGGTTAGGTGAGCCCCACTGTGCTCACCTACCCCATACACGCGGAGCGAAAACCCACGAGGGGTCGGGGCGCCTCGGCCCTCGGGGCCGAGGGGGGTGCAGCCCGACCCCCTCGGGGGGACTAAGAGGAGGGCGAACACATCACCCTCGGGCCCGACGTCCCCCGAGGGTGCCAGGCCACGTGGGCGATTGTATCTGCCTCAAACCTCTAGTCATGATACTCCCGATCCCATGTCACCGACAGTGTCCTATAAGGACTTTATCTTTTCCTTTTATCTTTAGGAAAGTTTCTTTCTTGTCCGACAAGGACTTGTATCAACCCATAGGTATAAATATGTACACCCAGGGTCTATGTAATCTATCTTCACGATCAATACAATTCGGCGCATCGCCACCTTTTACCTTTTCTACTTTATTTTATCGTCCGACGGGACTTGGCACCTGACGTAGGGCTGCATCGGTGTTCGATCTCCGGCGAAGGGGTAAGTCCAATGTTCCGTCGGCCCAGGCAATTGTATCGTTTACGTCGGTGTCGTTCAAGGCTGCATCAGTGCATTCGACCTCTTGGATTGCTCTGGTTTGGATGATATATTTGCCTACCTATTTATCATATGTTTATGTTAATCTAGTCTTAGCATATCAATTTAGCTCTATCGGCTGCTTCTCGTTTTAGGGTTTCTGCCGGTATCGGCTAAATCGTGTTGCTAGGTTAGATTAGCTTAGATATCTACCACCCTGAAAACTCAGTCAACGGCTTGATTGTCTAGATATTATGTTTCTTTTCATACTTAGTGCTGCATCAGTTGAGTTTGATCTACTAAGTCGTGCTTAGAACCATAATCCCTAGCCTGCTTCTTGATTGCCAATAAGGGTTTCATCGGGGTTTCAGCCGGTGAGTTATCTGGACGTTGCATCGGCTTATAAGGATAGCGTATACATATAAGTTGGATTTAGCCGATGACAACAAAGGTTTCACTGTTCAATCTAATCTTGTGGATTTCATGACATCGGACCTCCAGCTGATGTGTGCTTTAACCTTCGGATCGATGCTTATTTATCATATAATTATTTGCCGATTGGTTTATATTGGATTATATTGTTATTTTATTACACCATCATCAGCCGATTGCCTTTATATCATTGGACATATAGCCGATTGCTAAAACCCTATCGCTATCGGCTGGTATCGGCATCGGCTGAGATTGCTCCATCAGCTTGTCAGCCAATCGGCTATTTTGATATACTATTTGCATATCTTATCAGTTGCAGGATCAAACTGACTGGCACGCCCGCATCTCAACAACCTTTGGACCTGCACTGGAGCTAAGCAGATCTCCCAGGCCGGTGTGTTCGATTTTTTCGTCAACAGGCCCATGATGGGAGGCTTGAATTAGGCATCTGTCAAGGAAGTTCATTGCACACCTCTCCAATTTAAAGGTACGTAAAGAAATATTTGTGGAATATACGTGTGTGTTTTATGTTTAATGCGCCATGAATGCACAACTTACCTTCTTATTTAGTCATATTTAACTTGACTATCTCATTAAATATGTTTATTCTAGTGGCTGATAAATCTGAAATACATAGAGATGGTTTTCAAATCCCTTATGTTCTTATTTAAATGTATCTATTCTAGCCTTCTACAAATGGTCAGGATTTGTCTTTATACCATGTCTCTTTCACCTTTTTTCTTCAAGAAAGAATGTACATGTGCCATTTAACGTTACACAGTTACATATCGTTTGTTGGAATCACACAAGGATCGTTGGAACACACACGAACGCGAGAGCAAGTGGCAGAGCTTGAAATGCTTGACAATGGCAACAAATGCCGCCTTTTTTGTATTTAACTCGGTGGCCAACAATACGATGAACATGTGCTTTTATAGGCCCAGCGCGACGCACAACGGAGCACGAACTCCATCCCCGACCTTTGCTCGCACTACCCGCACGACCCGGCTCCATGCGACGAACGCGTTAACAACAAACACACACACACGACGCACGCGCGGACTGACCTGACACACAAGGTCAGGTTTATTTCCTAACATCGTTGGTCTATATCATTTTGTGATTTCCTGCAATCTTATTACATCCCACATGAATTTCTACATGGTTCTTTCATTGCAATTTATTATGCATGGGAGCTATATTAATTGTCCAAGAAAGATTTACATGTTAAGATTTCATTTGCAAACTCTTTGTCCTTTCTGCAATGGCCATAAATTTGCTTTTTCATGTTCATAGAAAAAGAAGTCATATCTGTGTTGATTGATTTATAAAACATAATTCAAAACAGCGTGATCTACATGCTAAATGTATAGTTACGGCCTTCTTCCAAATACAAGACATTTTGTTGCTCGAGTTGGTAATTTGCATTCTGTTGTTCCCTGCCGAGCAAGCTCTCAATCTCCTCTGCATTGTCTTCAGCTTCAGCCCATGGGTGCTGCTGGTATCTCCTTAACATCTCCAGCCTCTCAGCAACCTCTTTCATCGTTGGCCGTTCTTCTCCATTCATGCTTATGCATCGCATCAGGAGGTATGTGATCTCTTCTAGCATTTCAGCGCTCATCTCATTCCTTACTTGGCTATCTAGTAGCTCTTGATGGCGACCAACTTTCATTGCTGTGGTGAAGCATGACACCAGGCTCCTGTTTTCCTCTGGCCCGTCCAAGTACAATGCTTTCTTCCTTGTCAGAAGCTCTAGCATGACGACACCAAAACTGTAAACATCGCTCTTATCAGTCAACTGGCATGTCATAAGGTATTCGGGGTCCAAGTACCCGCAAGTTCCCTGCACCAACGTTGCAATCTCGGCCTCATCAGTTGGTGCTAGCTTTGATGCCCCAAAATCAGAAACTTTGGCGTTAAACTTGTCATCAAGCAAGATGTTTGCCGTCTTGACATCTCCATGGAGGATTGGGGGTGAAGCCGATGAGTGCATGTAGGAGAGTGCCTCGGCTGACTCTGCCGCTATCCGAAGACGAGTATCAAGTGGTATGTCAGCTTTGGGTTCCTTGCCATGGATGTAGTGGTAGAGGGTGCCATTTGAGACGAATTCATAGACCAACATGGGCACTTCAACTTCGAGGCAGCAACCAAGCAGCTTGACGACATTCCGATGGTTGATTTGGGAGAGGATGAACATTTCTCTCGCAAACTCCTTGGTCTCGGCCTCCTCCATCATCTTCGACTTCTTGATGGCCACTACTGTCTTGTCTTCGAGGACGCCCTTATAGACAACACCGTGACCACCACGACCCAGAACACGGTCAGAGGCGAAGTTGTGGGTCGCCCTCTTGAGTTCTTCTGTCGAGAATATCCTGAACCCATGGGTGCCTCCGCCGGAGTGCATCTGCTGCCGGAGGATCACTCCACCGTTATGCTCGAAGAACTTCTGCTTCGTTCTGATGAGCTTCCTCTTCTGGAGCCCCAAGTAGAGCCAGAAGCACATGAACACTGACAAGAAGACACCGACGCTAACCCCTGAACACGACGCCATTGTATACCCAATATTACTCCGTTAGATTTCCATTTTTGAGACTGAATGTAATTTTTCATGATGGACGACAGTTATAATTTTTTTTACCTGTAACTACTTTAAGAGCTAAAGGGAAGTTGTCCTTTGGGCGGCAACCGTTCCTGTCGGTCCAATTTCCACTAGTCCCAGGAGGGCACACGCAAGTGTGACTTCCTAACATGTTTGTGCAGTCTCCGTAGCATCCGTACTTTTCCGGACGTAAGCACTCGTTGATATCTTCCATTCACAAAGCAATTAATTTCGTCATATTTGATCATCAGCCAAATTAATCTATGGAAATTAATTGACAGAGTTAATTAAGATGACTGCTACCTGTGCATCCACCGTCGAGGTAGGGGTTGCCCTCGTAGCCCTGGCAGCAGTTGCACCGGTAGCCCTGGCCGTCGATGGTGTCGAAGCACTCACTGTTCGTGCTCCGGCACGCGTAGTCCGTCGCGTTGCGCTTGGCGGCGCTGCAGTTGTAGACGTTCCGGATTGCCCAGTCGAGCACGACGGGCACGGCCTCGAAGTCGCTCCGGTTGAAATCCTTCGTGTCGTTGTACACGGTGTTGATCCAGGTGTGCTCCACCAGGAACACGTACCTGCACGGCGTCGTGCCGCCGCGGAGCTCGTTGTCCACCGCCGCCGTCCCGTTCTCGAAGTTGAACATCCGCGGCACGTAGAAGTTGAGGGTAGGTGGTATGATGCTCTGGCAGCACCGCTCGCCGGTGCACCGCCCCGGCAACCGCGGCACTGTATCATTGCCCAGCGACGGGCGGCGGCACGCGGACATGCAGCCGCTGACGTAGTTGCCGGAGCCGTCGACGATGTAGCCGAGGTTGGGGCAGCCGAGCGCGACGAGGCGGTTCTTCTCCGGCGAGTAGCGGTAGGTGGTGCTGCCGTTGATGGACGTGTACGAGGAGGTGGGGACGTCGGAGGACCTCTCTTCTGGAGGAGGGTAGCACTTGCTTTCCGGTTTGAGGAGGACCCGGGCCTCGCCATCGGCCAGGGACAGGCTGACGAGCTGCGGGTGTTGCTCGAACTGAAGCGTGAGTAGGCGCGGTGGCGACGCGCTGTCGTCGCAGTTGAGCTGGAAGCCTTCATCGCGGGCGCAGCGGGCGCCGATGCCGAAGGGGTAGGGAACGTTGATGTTTCCGCACTTGTCGCGGCAGCCTGTCAGCTGCTGAGCCGACGCTGCTGGTGTCACCGGCGAAAGGCGACAGATGAGCAAGACTGCTGCTAATGCAATCGCCTGCAGGTGCAGGGTATTGGTAGCCATTTCTGAAATGGCTTGCTTAATGTCCGGATGCTACAATTTTATAAGAGTTAATTACATTAGCGGTCATTAAACTTGCAACGAAGTTTCACTTAGATCCACGAACTTGCAAAACACGTATCGAGATTCTTAAACTTGGTTTAATGTATCATCCCGGTCCAAAGCCTAGTTTAACCGTGGTCTTCTCTATGTGACATGCCACGTGGACGATGACATAGCTAAATTTTTTCCCTTTTTTTTCTTCCCATCTTTTTTCTCCTTCCTCACCTCGTGTGGAGAAAAATACTGCGGAAGGGAGAGGAAGGAGGCAAAGTGGAGAAAAAAAAGATAAGAAGGGGGAAAAAAGAGGGAAGAAGGAAGAAAAAATAAAAAAAATTCATGTCATCGTTCACGCAGCATGTGTCACACCCCAATCCGGCACCGCCGTACAACGGCACCTGATAGGAGCGTGTCGTAGGAATAACGGCGCGAACCGCTTCCTACGAAACCGCGATCTCGTTACCAGTCCCAGGACATAGTGCTGGTACCCACGGTGACAAATATGAATCATTGCAAATCCTTAAAATAAATAGAGGACTTATTTACCTTAACTTAGGTTGCAGCTTAGAACAGCCCGAGAATGCAACCGACGTCACGGACGAGGAAACACCAACAACAGCAGCAGCAGCGGAACCAAGAGCAGCCCGAGAATGCAACCGACGTCACGGATGAGGAAACACCAACAGCAGCAGCAGTGGAACCAACGGACTAACACCCAACGCCACAGGCGACGGCTGGGAACCAGGACGAAACCCTAATCTTCACTTCACTTCATCTTCACTTCACGACGGAGGAACTATATATACATATATAGAGCAAGGGTGAGTACTTTCGTACTCAACAAGCCACGGGAATTTAGGTGTTTAATGCAAGCTTGGAAGAGAGGCAAGGTTGTTTTGCAAATCTTTTATTTGAAATCCATTTTGAAACCACTAAGTGATTTATTTCTTTTCAGGTTTGGGTCGAAAAGAGACTTGCGTCTCGATTCAACTTTAAGAGATGTTTTTCAACAACTCAATTGATAATGACCGACCTCCCGGGTCAGATCATTACTTCTCGGCTCCCAGAGCCATTTCACTTGATTAAGCGGCTCCCAGAGCCTTATTCATTTTCTCGGACTCCCAGAGTCCAGCTGCCCAGCAGCACAACATTCCGCTTCCACTCGGGAAGCCTAGTCTATGATGCCCGTAGACATCCCGAATCACACAGATTCGTTTCTGACCACTCAGGCCATCCATCTGCCACATAGGCTGATTCTGGTTACGATTCCTATCCCACAACAACTTTTCACAAAGCACAGGCAAACAAATCTACGCAACGGGAACCACCTCACATCCGCCCATGACCGTGGGCACGGCTGTTCGAACAGTTAGTTAACCTCTGCAGAGGGGTACACTTTACCCACAAGATACGAACTTATTCCGAACACCCGTCGGTATCGGAGGTTCGCAACAAAGCCTTTCCCAAGCCGACCCAGGGATACCTCATGCCACATAGAAGGATCAAATCCTCACATAAATATAGGCCATTTTAGTTTTCACAAATCAAACTCCAACCACCTCGATCGGTAATTCAGCAAGCTTCTCTTTCTTGCTTACCAGGAACCCGGTTTGGCTCCAATCGACCCCGCCCCGGCGTTCCCAACTATTGGCATGCGAGGTTTCCCTGAACCGACTAGTTACTTAGCCAGGGTGTCCCATTCCACCTTGTGGTTGCACTTTGTTATGCTTGATGAGTTTCCCACAGGAATTGGTCCTTATATGCAAATACGAGACAGTGCCACATAGGCACGGCACCCGCATCGCGAATTTTCACAATTCATTTTATTTTCAAACACACCGACACCACATGTCGGGTTTTCAAGGCTTCTCAAACCCATTTCCCAAATTTTCGACAATCGACGGTGTATGTGGAATATTTGGTATACGCACTCAGAGAGCACGAATACCGAAGTACCACAAGGATGGAGCGACAAGGAATCAGGGTAGTACAACCTACAGGAATTAGTGCGACTACTGGGTAGGTCCGTCGGTTTGTCACGCAAACCGAGGCCAAGCATGTTATATGTGTGTGACTCTAAAAATGCAAGTTGCAAACAAAATAATAATGATTTTCCAATTATAGGAGAAATTGATCAAAGGGTGACTTTCCTTGCTCAAGGTCTTCACGAAGCTTCACGAATCTACGAGAAATCCCTGATCGACGAAAATCCGGTAACCGCGGCTATACGCAAACAATCAAAACCTAAACGAAAGACCAAAAGAAAGACCCTATTTAGACTAATTAATAGTGCCATTAAATATATCTCAATTTTACGGCAGTACCGGAAGTTGAACGGAGTCAATCGGAGCTACGGATTGAGAGATATGAATTTTGGAAGCTCGAATGGGATTTTCCAGACTAGGAAATGATTTATCAGAATTTTCTGGAATGTAAGGAATGGTTTATGGAATTTATAGAAATAATATTCTCAAGAATATTATTGACATTCACTGATGTGTGGGACCAAAGGAATTGATTTATGGAATTTCGGAATAATAAGGAATTGATTTATGGAAAAGGAAATGGACGAGGGATGTATATTAGACTTTTTCGGGCGGCAAGGGCGCAGCCCGAGTGTTGAAGGAGGCTCGGCCGAGCCATTTGGGCCGGCGTGGGCGCGGGGAAGGCGGCCCATTAGGGCGCGCGGAAGAGAGAGGGAGCGGTCCGGTGGACCGAGTGCACCTCGCGGGTCCCAGGTGGGGCCCGCTTGTCGGTGACACGGCCCACGGTGGGATGGGCGCACGTGAGGGCGGCGCTAGGGTTCGGTGGGGATGGCGCACGGGCGGTGCGCCGGATGGACCGAGACGCGTCGGGCCCACGCGCAGCCTCACGGCTCGCGGTGGACCGCGCGCGCGAGCGGGAGACGGAGGGAGCGGCTTACCGGGGTCAGCTTGACCCGGTCCGGCCGAGCTGGCGCCGACGTGGCGCCTTCGTGGCAGCCACGCGGGCCGGCGGGAGGAGGAAGAAGGGGAGGCCGAGATGGACGGCGGACGGCGGCGCGGCGAGATACTTGTTGTTTTGTGTACCCTGGCTGGTCCTGGACAGGGATTTAATACACAAAATAGTCTGGAAATTTGGGCTAAATTTCTGGGCGTGACAAAGTGGTATCAGAGCCAACTCGACTGTAGGTTGAGCCAAATGGTCAAACCCTAAGGACAAGTTTTCTGAAAACCCTATTTGCAAATTGTCTCCTCTCGCCCTTCGGCAATTCTTTGTCAAACAGTTTTTCAAAATTCTCCTCCCAGTCTCTCCAATTCTTTTAGTTGTCAAACCTAGAGGACCAGCTGTCAGCTTCATGTCTGTTCGGAAGTCAAGTCAATTCGAGCCTCAAGCTTCGTGCAAGGAGCGAGAAGATCAGTTCAGAGTCGTCGTTCTGCGAAGATCAAGTGATGTTTTCTCGGAGATGACCTAAACCCAATCTTTCCCAGAAGAGTAGTTCCGTTAGCTTTCTAGATCGTGTGTTGTTTGCTTGTGTGTAGGGGTATGGTTTGCATCATTGGTGGGGATGCGACCATACTAGGTTGTTTGCTTAAGCAACTTGAAGAATAAAAGTCTACTCACGACAGATCAGTAGGCAAGTGGTTTAGTACCTTATCTTTAGCAACCCCTCTCTTCCTCCTCTCTTCCGCCCTGGCAGAAGATAGTCAGTGTTAGAGAGAAGAGCAACGACGGTGTATTAAAGTCACCAATCAATGGTTCAGTTGAAAGCTACAAGGTATCCCAGTGCCAGAAGAACCCTGCTCGTGATCAACATTTGGTGTCCAAGATTAGATGATGGATGTATTGATGCGGGAGATGCAAAGTCCGATGCAACAGATGCAACAACAGTGTCTCCAACAACAAGTACAAGCTCAGATGCAAGCCGGAATCAGGATCAGAGCGATAGTCAGTTTGTTTTCAAAGAGGAAGCACCCGCAACCTCAGATAGTACGCCACCAAGTCCTCAGCAAATCAGCACAGCTAAGCCACCACCAATCCCAGGAGTAATATATGCTACCTATTGTGGTTATGGTTTTCAAGCGCAGTTTTTGCAAAGTGTCCATGGAAGATGTATGACAGGGCACATCTTAGAGGGTTGTTCCCCGGTAAGACGTCAGCGTCATCACATCCCTAACTCCTCAAGTTGTGTCAGTTCCAATGCAGAGTCGATCAGTTCAGTTTTGAGGAATCAACTATGCAACTCGACACCGAAGTCAAGCTAGAAGCAGGACAGTCATGCCAGTAGTTAGAACTTATGGGAAAGTTAGTCAAGAGTCAATGTGTCCCTGAGCTAAATGAGAGTCACTTTTATGTGGAATCTCCCATCAGCAACTGAGGATTAAGTTCCAAATCTTGCTGGGATGAAAGTGCGCCGTCATTACTCTATTTTGATGAATCGGTGAAGTTTCAGTTTTCAAAGTGAGGGCCTTTGTAAGCAAGAGAAGTGTTGGTTATTTTTCAAGGACAATAGTCCAATTGTTCCTAGTCAGGAGAAAGTAAGACTACTCCCTGTAAGGGGGTAGGTCTCGGAGATGAGTTTTGGCTCACTTCGTCGCTGTTTTAGTTGAAGGTTCAACCCAGTGCAACAATCCGGGTAGTACTTGAAGAAGCCAGTTGCAAGGTGTCAGCAGAGTCACCCCAATCTCAGGTCGACAGGTTCGATTCTAAGGTACACCTGTGAAGCATGTCAACAGTTTAGCTTAGAAAAGCAACAGCGAGGACAGTTGTAGTACAGACGAAAGGCAGGTCAAGCAGGTTTTCCTGGAATTACTTGTCATTTGAATTGGGACCAGTCGAAGCGGACATAGGGTAAATGATTTACAAATGCCAGATTCAATTTTCATCCTCTTATAGCCAGCGTGGTGAATTCTACCAAAATTGCCAACCTCAACAGTTCAGTCCAAGATAAGTAAGTTTCAGGAGCATCCGCAGTCCTAGTCTGG